CTTGATTAATATTTGATACGCCGTTTTTTGCATATTTCAGACACATCCAGAAATATGCTCCCAATTTTAAAGATTAATATCTCCGTGAATTTTTAAGTGAAATACAACTGTAATATATCAAAATCTAAGTTAGTCCTTCCTCTATTTGATGCAAGTTATTTCTCTTTAAAATCTTTACTTGTTTAGAAGTTATTACGAATCAAACAGGAGTACTTTTTTTTGGGACACCCGGTAGACTTGTCTAGATCAAAAGGGGAAAGGTCTATTGAACCCTTATATAGCATAGTTCATCAGCTATTAAGGGGATACAGTTATTTTAAGCAAATACATCTTTTATTTGCAAGAGAGCGCTGGTCCATCTGAAATAATTTTCGTGGAACTCATTTCCATATTTTGAAATAAGACATCCTTATCAACATAATGTGGTGACATTAAATATTCTATAAATTAAATATTCTATAAACAAATACGTGCAAAAGATGCTTGGCATATATACGAAAGCGATATTGGTCTATTGCAAAATATTGAAGCACATTTTAATATACACTTTGTCCACATCGATTTAATAACATTAGCTCAGTCTATACATTATTAAGATTCATATTGCTTGGTATAAAACATCATTCTCTGGGAACTCATTTCCATATTTTGAAACACGAAATTTTTGGCAACATAATGTAACCAATTGCAAGCCAGTATTAATATCAGCTGATCAGCTTTGGTCACAAAACATTAATATTCTATTTCATGCCAAGCAGATCATTTTGTTAAAGTTTCAAGCAAATACTAACACAGACGTTCTCGAAGAACGAATACTGTATCTATATTCAGTCTATATAGCGAGGTTTATACTACAGAGCGACTAACATCAACTCAGAACTTGTTTTGTTAATACGAAACAAGAATGGCGTGAAATATGGCGTCGTACATACAAGGCTATGATGAGAAAAGATTTGCGACCACAGTCAATCGAAATTTTCTGTGTTTGATTTGCTTTGACGTTTTAAGAGAGCCCGTCCTGTGTCCGAGAAACCATCATTGTTTCTGTCGTTCTTGTATTACGAAACACCTCGAGAACTGTCGAAGATGCCCTACATGTGCGGACGAACTGACTGTAGAGACTTTGGCCGAACCACAAAGAATGGTAAAAGATATTTTGAATGAATTGAATATTCATTGCATTTACATCAACCGTGGTTGTCAAAAGATCTTACAATTACAACATCTTGAACGGCACGAGGCTACATGTGGATTTACACCAGCCGTTTGTACAAACCAAGGCTGTGGTGCAACTTTAAACCAACGTGATCTTATTCACCATCAAAGTGAACTATGTGAATTTCGCAAGTTGAAGTGCCACTCGTGCGGAGAAATGGAGAAAAGAATGGCGAATCTCGAGAAGAATATGGAGAGAAATGCGGCAGATATGGCAGGAAAACTCGAAGCAGTAAATAATGAAGTGAGAGGATTGAAAACAGCCTTGATTGAAGGTTTTGATGAAATGAAGGATGTTCTTGTCAAGATGGAGGACAAGAAAGAAGAAAACACAAGAAAAGTAAGAAATACAGCAAGTGGTGATAAGGAAAATATAATTGTTGCTGGAGGTTATGGAACTAACTCTGTAGAGATGTTTAACTGGCGTCAAAGAAGATGGTCGCCATTACAATCCTTACCAAAGAAGCGTCATGGAGGGACTTCATTTGTGTTCAACAATCATGTGACAATTGCTGGAGTTTCGTGTTCTGGTTATGTGGAAGATATGATTAGAATGAATATCAACCCAAACCCTGATCTCTCGACACACTGGAGTGAGTGTCCTGTTAAACTACCTGCTAAGTTGGCATACCACAGTAGTGTGCTGTATAATGATCGTTTGATAGTCTCAGGTGGTATTAATGGAAATGCAGTATTTGACTGTATTCATGAACTCCAGCTGGTGATTCCGTATACTGTGAAGACCTTATCAAGAATGCCAGAACGAAGAAATGCTCACGGTATGGAATTATTTGATGATAACTTGTTGATCGTTGGTGGAAGAACAACTGGCAGTTGGCAAGGCAACCTCAGCAGTGTGGTACTGTATGATATAAAGAAGAATGAATGTAAACAGTTGGCACCACTGCCGTATGAAGTGAGTCTGATGGCAACTGTGAGATGGGGAGACAACATCGTTGTTATTGGCGGCGTTGACAAACGTGGCAAAGTATTAGATACAATTATCATTTACAATGTCAAAACAGAGCAAGGTCGCTTGTTACCACCAATGAGATGTAAGAGGTTTGGATGTACTGCAGTTGTTATTGGAAACAACATTGTAGTACTGGGAGGGCGGGGTGAGCGACGAGTACTGAAGTCAGTTGAAGCTTTCAACTTCGATCGTAATACTTGGGAGGAACTTCCTGAAATGTCTGAAGCAAGATGGTGGCACATGGCTGTTGCTGTATGAACATTTCTAACAAAGCTGAACGTATTCTATGAGATTTAATTATGATCATATTATGAACAATTAGAAATTAATACCACGTAATGACTTTAAATAGTTTGTTTAATATAAGCAATCCTAATTCATTATAATAGGACATTGACAGTGATCACATTGTGTGCAGGACATGAAATATTGAAAACTGGAAGTGTCTGTGTCTGTGAAGGTAGTGTCAATAATATGAACAAGCTTTCGTTGGTAGAGATGCAACTACCTGAAAAATACAAGGAGAATTTCAACGTTTCGTCACTAACTTCGCGACGAAGGGCCTCCCCTCGAAACGTCGAATTTCTCCTTGTATTTTTCAAGTAGTTGTATCCCTAGCAACGAAAGCTTGTTATTATTGAAAACTGTGTAGTTTAGTTGATATCTTCATAATCATTAAATCATAGTTTGATTCAAAATACCTGATTGTCTGTACATCACGTTACAGTACAGCAGAATGTGGCCAACTTTGAAACTGCTGAAACTGCTGACCAGCACAGGCTATGGTCTACATATATTACCAAAAAAATGTAAATAGTTTGTTGTGTATAACCAATGCGAATAAATTATAGTTTTTTTTAACACAAAATTAATGATTGACCACGTTGTTTAAGCTTTCATAATGCTTAGTATAAGCTCTCATAATGGCCCTTTTCATGTATAACAGTTAGCATGCTCCAGTCACTATAATAATAATAATAATAATAATAATAATAATAATAATAATAATATGCACCGAAGTGTTTTTCAGGGAGGTCCTGTAATATATATCTATATTATACATGGTAAACTATACTATGCTTATTTAAAAACTATAAAATATTTACAAGTGGATTATATATAATTATACTTCATAGTTAGAAAAAAACTCAACTTAATTAGATAAATTGTTCAACTTAATTAGATAAATTGTTTTAGTTTGGATTTAAAGAGATTAAGATTAGTAGATTGTTTCAGTTCAATAGGTAATGAGTTCCATTCCGATACTGAGTGATAAGTGAATTGCTGTTTTCCCCAATTCGTACGTGGGCGTGGAAGGTAGTAGTTGTTGTTATTCTGGCGTGTTTTATGGCTATGTATACGGGAGATTATGGTAAGGTTAAAATCAAAGTCGACTAGATGGTTAAGACATTTAAAGACGGAGATACAACGGTGGTATTTTCGACGTAGATAAAGGGGTTTCCACTCTAGAGTTTCAAGGGCTTCGGTAGCGGAGGAATGGCGAGGAAGATCAAGGATAAGTCTCGCAGCGTTATGTTGCAGAACTTGAAGGTGGTTCATTAGAGTGGAGTTGTTTTTATCTCCCCACACGATATCACTGTAGTCCAATAGAGGGAGGACTAGGCTGTTGTAGAGGGTGAGTCTGGCTTGAATAGGGAGTAAGAATTTTATGCGGCGAATGAGACCAAGGCGTTGATTAAACTTCTTGCTGATGTTGTCGATATGTTCTGACCAGGTTAAGTTTTGTTGAATTGTAACTCCTAAGTATTTGAAGGAGTCAATTCTATCAAGTATGGAATCATTAACCGTGATGGAAACATTGTTAAATTTTGCAACTTTGCGAGAACTTCCGTAAATTATAAATTTACACTTGGAGACATTAAGTGTCAGAAGATTGTCGTTAAACCATCTGCATAGGTGTTTTAGATCGGAATTTAACTTCATTTCAAGATCGCAAGCATTGTTTGAAGAAAGGTATATCACAGTGTCGTCAGCGTATAAGGATATTTCACAATGGTTGATACAATAAGGCAAATCATTAAGAAAAATAAGGAATAGTAGTGGACCCAAAACACTACCTTGAGGAACTCCGACAGGAACGTGTTTGAAGGAGGAAACAGTGTTAGCCAGGGCGGTAAGTTGATTTCTATTGCTTAGGTATGACTTGAACCAGTTGACAGAATCATTGGAGAGACCAGATGAGGCAAGCTTTTCAAATAAAAGAGAATGGTCGTCAGTATCAAAGGCTTTAGCCAGGTCAAGAAAAACAGCTCCTGTTACTAAACCCTTGTCCATATTAGCCAAAATGGTGTCCGTGAAATGTGCAAGCGCAATCTCAGTGGAAAGTTTAGGTCTGAAACCAAACTGTCGTGGTGTTAGTATTTTATTGTCAATAAGGTAGCGGTAAACTTGAGAGTGGACTGCTTTCTCGAGAACTTTACTAATTGTTGGGAGTATCGTGATTGGTCTGTAATTGCTAGCATTGGATTTGTCACGAGATTTAAAAAGCGCTGTTACTTTGCCAGACTTCCAGGTTGATGGAAATGTTGAGGAAGTGAGTGAACGATTGAAAAGTTTGGTTAGGATGGGAGTTACAACACTGGAAGAATCTTTAAGTAACCTAGCGCTGATTTTGTCTAGGCCTACAGCTTTGTTGGTTTTAAGATTGTTCAGAACACCATACACATAACTTTCTTCAATTGGCTGGAAAACAAATTCATTTTCCCTAAACTCACTAGGTTGCTTGATAGAATTCCGATTTGGATACAAATTTCTTATCTTAGATGCCAATTTGGATCCTATGCTTGAGAAATGGTCGTTTAATGACTCAGCTATAGACTTTGGGTCGGTATGAGAAACACCATTAGCTTCAATACAAGATGGCGAGCAGTGAGGTTTTCGGGACGAGATGTCATTTAACGTTTTCCATAAAGCACTAGTGTTTCCTTTATTCGTATTAATCAGGTTCGAGTAGTATTCAGCTTTGCATTTCTTAACTTTTATGTTGACGTAAGATTTAATCTTCTTGTACATCATCCAGTGAAAGGGCGAATTTGACTTAACGGCTTTGCGGTGGTGGTAGTCGCGATCTTGCATTGCGTTGCTTAAATCAGTAGTAAGCCATGGGGTTTGGATTCCTTTTGTTCTCAATTTCTTAATTGGAGCATGAAGATTGGCAACATTTGTGAACAGTTCATTCCATTTACTTACGGCGACATTAATGTCTTGCTCTTCGTCAATAAGATCGAAATTAACATGCACAAGATCGGCGAGGAAAGATTGCTTTGAATAAGTTTTGTAGGATCTGTATTCTATGACTCTTCCTGGTGCTCTACGTACACCCGCTTTAACAACACAGTAGATGAGAGAATGGTCACTTTTACTGGTCACTATTCAATGAGCAGAATGTTTCTTTGATTTGTTCTCCATGACATCCAGTCAGAGACAGCTGTGGATTGCGAAGGATACAACTACCTAAAAAATACCAGCAGAAATTTGTCGTTTCTGGCAAAGACTCTGTATTTTTCAGCGAGTTGTATCCCTCACAATCCACATGTGTCTTGAGACCGTTCCAGATTTCATCCGGTCACGATCCAGTAATTGGATTATTTTACTATCTCTTCATTATTTTGAAATGTCACTGTTATCCATACCTTCCAATCACTTTTAACATTCAGAATGAACAATACTCGTTTAAGACAGTTTTGAAGTTTATAACCACATCTCATTATGTGAACAATTTAATTACATCAAAACTGTAATGAAACTAACACCACATCAGACTCTAATATATCATGTATATTATCTGATTTTCTTTCCAATAACGGTAAAATAATCGATAGAGCTGACTACTGTTCTTAGACTTGGTACTTATAAACTAGATTGAAACCTAATCTTAATCAATCACGGAACTAAAGCTTCTAATAATAATATTTAACCAATGATCTTACATAGTATTTCTCATATTTCTTCACTGGTATATATAGCTGTGATATGTAGTAATTTCATCATTTCTGATGAAGACTAAAATCTACAGTCGAAATGGCGCCAAAACACTTTTCAAAATGTTTACTGTTTTCGAAATTACTGTTTTTTAATACTCGGTGGTTCCCGCAAAGTACTAAAATATCTGTATTAGTTTGCCATTTGTAATCATGTTCCTATATGTTGCATTTCTGTTCATGACCCGATAGTATTTCAAACGATCTTTTCTTGGTATTAAAAAATCATTGACTTGGAACTCATTTCCATATTTTGAAACAAGAGTACAAGACATTCTTGTCAACATAATGTGACCAGTTGTAAGCCAGTATTAATATGAGGTGATGACCACCCATCGCGGTACATTGAATATTCTATCTTGTATAAACAAATACCAGTCTGCAAAAGACGCTTGAAATACTTGCACGGAAGCGATATTGGTCTGTTGCTCTAAAGACATAATTTTGTCAATGATTTGAAGCAAATTGTAATACAGACTTTATCCCCATCGATCAAAATAACATTAGCTCAGTCTATATACATTATTAAGATCGATTTTTCTTGGTAAAAAAGATCATTTTCTGGGAACTAATTTCCATATTTTGAAACACGAAATTCTTGTCAACATAATGTAGCCAATTGCAAGCCAGTATTAATATCAGGAGATGACCTTTTGGTCACAAGATATTCAATATTTTATTTCATGCCAGCAAATTCCTGTCTAGTAAAGACGCTTTAACACTTTATGCGGAAGCGATATTTATCTGCTGCTCTAAACAGATCATTTTGTTAAAGATTTCAAGCAAATATTAACACAGATTTTCTCGAAGAACGAACACTGTATCTATCTATATTCAGTCTGTATAGCGAGGTTTATACTACAGAGCGACTAACATCAACACAGAACTTGCTTTGTTATTACGAAACAAGAATGGCGTGAAATATGGCGTCGTACATACAAGGATATGATGAGGAAAGGTTTGCGACAACAGTCAATCGAAATTTCCTCTGTTTGATTTGCTTCAACGTTTTAAGAGAGCCCGTCCTGTGTCCGAGAAACCATCATTGTTTCTGTCGAGCTTGTATTACGAAACACCTCGAGAATTCTCGAAGATGCCCTACGTGTGCGGACGAATTGACTGTAGAGACTTTGGCCGAACCACAAAGAATGGTAAAAGATATGTTAAATGAATTAAACATTCATTGCATTTACATCGACAGAGGTTGTCAAGAGATCCTACAATTACAACATCTTGACAACCATGAGGCTACATGCGGATTTACACCAGCCGTTTGTACAAACCAAGGCTGTGGTGCAACTTTAAACCAGCGTGATCTTATTCACCATCAAAGTGAACTATGTGAATTTCGCAAATTGAAGTGTCACTCGTGCGGAGAAACGACAAGAACGTTGGCAGATATGCAAGAAAAGATTGCGAACATAGAGAAGAACATAGCTTCTATGGGAACTAAAATAACGAATGTCGAGAAGAACATAGCTTCTATGGGAACCAAAATAGAGAAGAATATAGAGAAGAATATGGCGACAAATGCGGCAGATATCAAAACAGATATGGAAAGAAAACTCGAAGCAGTAAATAATGAAGTGAGAGGATTGAAAACAGCTTTGATTGAAGGTTTTGATGAAATGAAGGATGTTCTTGTCAAGATGGAGGACAAGATAGAAGAAAACACAAGAAAAGTAAGAAATACAGCAAGTGGTGATAAGGAAAATATAATTGTTGCTGGAGGTATGGGAACTGACTCTGTAGAGATGTTTAACTGGCGTCAAAGAACATGGTCGCCATTACAATCCTTGCCAAAGCAGCGTTATGCAGCGTCTTCGTTTGTTTACAACAATCATGTGACAATTGCTGGAGGTTACTGTTCTGGTTATGTTGTTGATATGATCAGAATGAATATCAACCCAAACCCTGATCTCTCAATGCACTGGAGTGACTGTCCTGTTAAACTACCTGCTGAGTTAGGATACCACAGCAGTGTGCTGTATAATGATAAGTTGGTAGTCACTGGTGGTTATAATGGAGACGCGTCGTCTGATCTTATTCATGAAGTGCAGCTGGTTCGTCCCCATACTGTCAAGATCTTATCAAGAATGCCAGAACGACGAAATGCTCACGGTATGGAAATATTTGATGATAATGTGTCGATCGTTGGTGGAAGAACAACTGGCAGTTGCAAAGACAACGTCAGCAGTGTCGTAGTGTATGATATAAAGAAGAATGAATGTAAACAGTTGGCACCACTGCCGTATGAAGTGAGTCTGATGGCAACTGTAAGATGGGGAGACAACGTCGTTGTTATAGGCGGCGCTGACAAACGTGGCAAAGCATTAGATACAGTTATCATTTACAATGTCAAGACTGAACAAAGTCGCTTGCTGCCGTCAATGAGATGTAAGAGGCTTGGATGTACTGCAGTTGTTATTGGAAACAACATTGTAGTACTGGGAGGGTCGAGTGGACAAAGACTGAAGTCAGTTGAAGCTTTCAACTTCGATCGTAATACTTGGGAGGAACTTCCTGAAATGTCTCGAGCAAGACATCTTCCTACTGCTGTTGTTGTGTGAACATTTCCAACAAAGTTGAACGTATTCTATGAGATTTAATTATAATCATATTGTGAGCAATTTAGATTAGAGATTTTAACACCACGTAATGACTTTAAATAGTTTGTTTAATATAACCAATCTTAATTCACTATAATACGACATTGCCAGTGATCACATTGTACACATTGTGTACAGGACATGAAATATTGAAAACTTGAACTGTCTGCCAGTGTAGGTAGTGGCAATAATAATAACAAGCTTTCTTTGGTAGAGATGCAACTACCTGAAAAATACAAGGAGAATTTCGACGTTTCGCCACTAACTTCCCGACGAAGTGCCTTCGCTCGAAACGTCGAAATTCTTGTATTTTTCAAGTAGTTGTATCCCTACCAACGAAAGTTTGTTAGTATTGAAAACTGTGTAGTTTAGTTTATATATTCATAATCATTAAATCATAGTTTGTGTGATTCAAAATACCTGATTGTCTGTACATCACGTTACAGTACAGCAGAATGTGACCAACTTCGAAACAGCTGACATTTATAATATCTGCAGAGAAAATAAACTACACTCTTTATTTTATATTTTGATACCGAATACAAAACAACTACACTGTAAATTTTGGAGAATCAACTTGAAAAGAGTTATTTTGTCAATGTTTTTTATCACAGAATAACTCTTTCCGAGTTGATTCAATTGCTTGAAATTTAGAGTGTAGATAGAATGAAAAGAATGAAGATTATTTTCTCACTCTGATAACTGCAGGTTCACCATCTACTGGATATTTGCGATTTAAAAAATGCATGACTTTTATCAAATTTGATGTAATCTGACCAGCACAGGCTATGGTCTACATATATTACCAAAAAAATGAAAATAGTTTGTTGTGTATAACCAATGCGAATAAATTATAGTTTTTTTAACTCAAAATTAATGATTGACCACGTTGTTTAAGCTTTCATAATGCTTAGTATAAGCTCTCATAATGGCCCTTTTCATGCATAACAGTTAGCATGCTGCAGTCACTATTCAATGAGCAGAATGTTTCTTTGATTTGTTCTCTATGACATCCAGTCAGAGACAGCTGTGGATTGCGAGGGATACAACTACCTGAAATATACCAGCAGAACTTCGTCGTTTCGGACAAAGACTCTGTGTTTTTCAGCGAGTTGTATCCCTCACAATCCACATGTGTCTTGAGACCGTTCCAGATTTCATCTCGTCACGATTCAGTAATTGTGTTCTTTTATTATCTCTTCATTGTTTTGAAATCTCACTGTTATCCATACCTTCCAATCACTTTAAACATTCAGAATGAACAATACTCATTTAAGACAGTTCTCAAGTTTATAACCACATCTCATTATGTGAACAATTTAATTACATCAAAACTGTATTGAAACTAGCACCACATCAGACTCTAATATATCATGTATATCATCTGATTTTCTTTCCAATAACGGTAAAATAATCGATAGAGCTGACTACTGTTCTTAGACTTGGTACTAATAAACTAGATTGAAACCTAATCTTAATCAATCACGAAACTAAAGCTTCTAATAATAATATTTAACCAATGATCTTACATAGTATTTCTCATATTTCTTCACTGGTATATATAGCTGTGATATGTAGTAATTTCTGATGAAGACTAAAATCTACAGTCGAAATGTCGCCAAAACACTTTTCAAAATGTTTACTGTTTTCGAAGTTACTGTTTTTTAATACTCGAGCTCGGTGGTTCCCGCAAAGTACTAAAATATCTCCATTAGTTTGCCATTTGTAATCATGTTCCTGTGCCGCATTTCTGCTCATGACCCGATAGTATTTCAAACGATCTTTTCTTGGTATTAAAAAATCATTGACTTGGAACTCATTTCCATATTTTGAAACAAGACATTCTTGTCAACACAATGTGACCAATTGCAAGCCAGTATTAATATGAGGTGATGACCACCCATCGTGGTACATTAAATATTCTATCTTGTATAAACAAATACTAATCTGCAAAAGACGCTTGAAATACTTGCACGGAAGTACGATATTGGTCTGTTGCTCTAAAGACATAATTTTGTCAATGATTTGAAGCAAATTGTAATACAGACTTTATCCACATCGATCTACTAACATTTGCACAATCTGTATGCATTATCAAGATTGATTTTTCTTGGTATAAAAGATCATTTTCTGGGAACTAATTTCCATATTTTCAAACACGAAATTCTTGTCAACATAATGTGACCAATTGTAAGTCAGTATTAATATCAGGTGATGACCTTTGGTGACAAGATATTAAATATTTTATTTCATGCCAGCAAATTCCTGTCTAGTAAAGACGTTTCAAACACTTTAATATGCGGAAGCGATATTTATCTTGCTGCTCTAAACGGATCATTTTGTTAAAGATTTCAAGCAAATACTAACACAGACTTTCTCCAAGAACGAACACTGTATCTATATTCAGTATATAGCGAGGTTCATACTACAGAGCGACTAACATCAACACAGAACTTGCTTTGTTATTACGAAACAAGAATGGCGTGAAATATGGCGTCTTATCCACAAGGCTATGATGAGGAAAGATTTGCGACCACAGTCAATCAAAATTTCCTCTGTTTGATTTGCTTCAACGTTTTAAGAGAGCCCGTCCTGTGTCCGAGAAACCATCATTGTTTCTGTCGTTCTTGTATTACGAAACACCTCGAGAATTCTCGAAGATGCCCTACATGTGCGGACGAACTGACTGTAGAGACTTTGGCCGAACCACAAAGAATGGTAAAAGATATTTTGAATGAATTAAATATCCACTGCATTTACATCGACAGAGGTTGTCAAGAGATCCTACAATTACAACATCTTGAACGCCACGAGGCTACATGTGGATTTACACCAGCCGTTTGTACAAACCAAGGCTGTGGTGCAACTTTAAACCAGCGTGATCTTGTTTACCATCAAAGTGAACTATGTGAATTTCGCAAGTTGAAGTGCCACTCGTGGGGAGAAACGACAAAAACATTGGCGAATATGCAAGAAAAGATTGCGAACATGGAGAAGAACATGGCTTTTATGCGAACCAAAATTACAAATATAGAGAAGAATATTGCGACAAATGCGGCAGATATCAAAACAGAAATGGAAGGAAAACTCGAAGCAGTAAATAATGAAGTGAGAGGATTGAAAACTGCTTTGATTGAAGGTTTTGATGAAATGAAGGATGTTCTTGCTGAGATGAAAGAAGAAAACACAAGAAAAGTAAGAAATACAGCAAGTGGTGATAAGGAAAATATAATTGTTGCTGGAGGTGTAGGAACTGACTCTGTAGAGATGTTTGACTGGCATCAAAGAACATGGTCACCATTACAATCCTTGCCAAAGGAGCGTCATGGAGCGACTTCATTTGTGTACAACAATCATGTGACAATTTCTGGAGGTTCCTGTTCTGGTTATGTCGATGATATGATTAGAATGAATATCAATCCAAACCCTGATCTCTCAATGCACTGGACTGACTGTCCTGTTAAACTACCTGCTAAGTTAAAATACCACAGCAGTGTGCTTTATAATAATAATTTGATAGTCACAGGTGGTCATTATGGAAATGCAACATCTGACTGTATTCATGAAGTCCAGCTGGTTCCTCCTCATACTGTGAGGACCTTGTCAAGAATGCCAGAAGGAAGAAGTGCTCACGGTATGGAATTATTTGACGAGGATTTGTTGATCGTTGGTGGAAGAAGAACTGGCAGTTGGGAAGGCAACCTCAGCAGTGTGGTACTGTATGATATAAAGAAGAATGAATGTAAACAGTTGGCACCACTGCCGTATGAAGTGAGTCTGATGGCAACTGTGAGATGGGGGGACAACATCGTTGTTATAGGCGGCGTTGACAAACGTGGCAAAGTATTAGATACAGTTATCATTTACAATGTCAAGACTGAACAAAGTCACTTGCTGCCGTCAATGAGATGTAAGAGACAGGGATGTACTGTAGTTGTTCTTGGAAACAACATTGTAGTACTGGGAGGGTATGATGGACAAGGTGAACTGAAGTCAGTTGAAGCTTTCAACTTCGATCGTAACACTTGGGAGGAACTTCCTGAAATGTCTCAAGCAAGACATCTTCCTACTGCTGTTGTTGTGTGAACATTTTCAACAAAGTTGAACGTATTCTATTCAATCATAATCATATTATGAGGAATTTAGATTAGAGATTGACACAAGTAATGACTTTAAATAGTTTGTTTGATATAACTAATCCGAATGCATTATAATAGGACATTGACAGTGATCACATTGTACACATTGTGTGCAGGACATGAAATATTGAAAATTTGAACTGTCTCTGTGTCAGTGTAGGTAGTGGCAATACTAACAAGCTTTCGTTGCTAGGGATGCAACTACCTGAAAAATACAAGGAGAATTTCGACATTTTGCCACTTCCCGACGATGGGCCTTCGCTCGAAACGTCGAATTTCTCCTTGTATTTTTCAAGTAGTTGTATCCCGGGACCAACGAAAGCTTGTTAGTATTGAAAACTGTATAGTTTAGTTGATGTATTCATAATCATTAGATATAATCTGACCAGCACAGGCTATGGTCTACATATATTACCAAAAAAATGAAAATACTTTGTTGTGTATAACCAATGTGAATAAATGATAGTTTTTATAACTTATCTGAGTATAAACATTCATAATAACTTTGTCATGCATAACACTGAGCATGTTTCAATCACTATTCAGTGAGCAGAATGTTCCTTTGATTGAATATCCCACGTTTCTCCATGACATCTAGTCACGAAATAACTGTGGATTGATAGGGATACAACTACCTGAAAAATACAAGGAGAACTTCGACGTTTGGAGCGAGGGCCCTTGTATTTTTAGCGAGTTGTATCCCTCGCAATCCACAGGTGTCTTGAGACCGTTCGAGATTTCATCTCGTCACGATCCAGTAATTGGATTGTTCTCGAAATATTACATTATCAGATTTTCTTTTTAATAATTGTAAACTAATCGATATGGCTGTCCACTGATATTTGCAGTGTTTAAAGAATCCCTTGCGATACGCAGACTGACTAACATTAACTAAAGCTTCTAAAGCACTAAGTACTAGATAAAACACGAGCAGCCGATCTGTATGATCTCATTTGAAAAAATGACCCATCTTATGAGTTCATTGGCGAAGTAATTTTAGAAATAAACATTGTCTGAGCCGAGAAAATCAAAGTTAAAGTTTATGTAAATCAGGACAAATCTGTATCCGATTTACAAACATTGATTAAACATTCATTTTTTTGTATTTTCCTCGTGAATTATATTAATGAATTTTTTAATAATAATTAACGAATGACCTTATATAGTATTTTTCATATTTCTTTACTTGTATATATCGCTGATGATATGTAGTAATTTCATGATTCCTGATGATGACTAAGATCTATAGTCGAAACGACGAATAAACACTTTTCAAAATGTTTTGTGTTTTCTCTTAAAATACCCGGTGGTTCTCGCAAAGTACTTGCATCTCTACTAATTTGCCATTTATAAATTGTAATGTTATTTATCTCATTATTTCTCACAGATTCAGATTATTGACACAGTTTATGATGTGCAGTTAGACGCGCAGGGACTGGTACCTGCTTTGGACAGTTTCTGTGAACAGGTATCATCTATAATGTTAACTTGAAACCAAATATACCCAACGTTGGTAGCCTAACAGCAGCCAACAAGTTGCAAATGTTTCAGAGCAAAGATTTTCAATTTGGATAAATCTTGTCAAAAAAAGATTTGAAAAATAAGCAAGCAATTATGTCAGTTTGTAGGTGCTGTAGAAGAGTGTTACGAATTTACTAGATGTACAATATGTACTATTTAAAACACGAGCAGGAGTGCTTTATCAGATATAAACACAAGTCGACAGCCAAGTGAGCCAAGAGTTTTATATCTGATAAAGCATGGACTGCGAGGGTTTTAAACGGCTTTCAAAGCGACCCATCTTATGAGTTCATTGGCGAAGTAATTGAAAGAATCGACGTTGACGAAAATCAAAGCTAAAGTTTATTTCAAACACTCATTAATAATTCATAAGCTTATTGGCAAATCATGTCAACCATAATATGTCACGTGCAGTGGCTTTAAACCTGATAAAACACTCCTAATTAGTATTCTTTATATAAAGAATACTAATAAGGCAGGTATCTATTGTAGTCATGTCCTCATTAGTATTCTTTATATAAAGAATACTAATAAGGCAGTATATCTATTGAATTTGTAGTCGTGTTTGAAGCCGTTTAATAAACTCGCAGGTCGTGTTTTATTAGGTCTAAACCCACTCGCGCTGCGCGCTCGTGTCTTTAAACCTAATAAAACACTCCTGCTCGTTTATTAAACAGTACGTAAACCACCAACACGGTAGTGATTTCCTTTGTCTGTTCTTCATCAATTATTAATGAGTTATTTTATCATTACACTTCTCTCATAAAAAGTTACTTTACCGCCCAAAATCTTGTCAATTTTGGGTTTTGTCCGAGTACGCCGGTTTTCTTCCCAAGTAATTTCACGAAATTGTTTGAAAAAATAAATAATTTTGCATTCGTTAGAAGTATTCTCAAAGTTCGGCGATGTCATTACTTTTTGGTTTCTCTGTTCACCAGGCGAGCGAAGCAATCAAGAACAACTGTGCATTTGTCATCTTGTCTGATCGTCTGGCCAGTAAAGATTATGTACCAGTCAGGTAGGACCAATTTAGCGTGTGTATGTTCATGTAAATAAGTACCAGGAAGGTGTTCGCTGTTAGGGATTATATAATACTGTATAACAAAGAGGGATGTTGTGCATTAATGGGTTAAAGTTGACTCAAAACCTATCATTTATATTTTACTATACAACACTTATGTACTATGATTCTAAATGGTCAAGTTTTAAAATTATGAAACAGTAATAATGCGATAAACCCAAAATATATTTTCTGTCTTCTTAGTTCATTGTTGGCTCTAGGCGCTGTTCACCATCATCTCTTGAAGACCAAACAAAGACCAAGAATTAGTATCATCGTTGAAACTGCTGAAGCACGGTAACTGATGTGATTAAAAATATTCTATTATTTTCTCCATATTTGTTAATTTCATGTCATGTTCAAGACTAGTTTCATCTGTCATCCTGTTTGTGTGTTTCAAAACAATGCTTTTTATTTATAATTTGCTTGTTGACTACAGAGAGATTCATCATTTTTGCCTGTTGCTTGGTTACGGAGCTGACGCCATATGTCCATATCTCGTGTTTGAAGTTGTACAAATTTTGAGACAAGAAGGTAAATGCTTGTTAGATATAAGCCAGGTCAAATATATACATCCAAATGACCCGTTATGCGTCAGGTCAGTTGTTAAAGTTGAATACGTTGAGTCTCAGCTACATGCTATGTTTCTACGGCAATTTCATCCCGTCCATTACAAGCTATAGTCTATGATTGATCAATTTTTATTTTTAAATATACGATTATGAATTTAACAAAGACTGCAATTACGTAGGTGCTCGCAGTTGAAAGTCCCTTACAAGTTAGTCACTGATATTTTAACTAGTACGTAACAATTATTTAAATTTCAGGATTGCTTGACCCTCCTCTGGCTGATGAAGAAGTTTATAAAAATCTTCAAGCTGCTTCGTTCACTGGCATTTCCAAAGTCATGGCGAAAATGGGAATCTCAACTTTACAAAGTTACAAGGTAAAAGATTATAACTACACGATCAGTCTTTGTATAGTTCTTTATAAGTTTTCATTCTTCGACTGACTCGGAGAACACATGTTGCATGTTGACTTCTGGCTTGGGGTGATTGCTTGTCTTTCATCTCTGTGACTGAGGTTTGATTCCTGCAATATCCAGTTGTCAGATTATAATTTCACCTCAGTCACATTTGAGAAGAATGCTTCCAGTTTCACTCTAACCAACACCACATGAAGGCATATGAAGGATGACTATACTGAGCTCTAGAGAGATCAGTTCAGAACTCACAGAGCTATCCAGTATGAATAAAATCACAATCTAACCGCTTTAAATTAAATAAAAATTCTTTCAAACTGGAAACTTTCCAGGGCTTTTAATTTGTGTTCTTGCCAGGCTATCTGAAGTAAGATTTTTTAATAATAATAAAGAGGTAATCTAAAGCAAGATAAGTGGGAAAATATGGTTACATCTTACTTTCATTTCTTTAGGCTGCTCAAATATTCGAGGCAGTTGGATTACATGAAGAGGTAGGATTGAAATATCTTTTAACTTGTTTCTGTATTATAAATAATTGTCATTCAATGTAGATTACATGCACAGGTAACCATATCTATCACCCCCTCCGCTGGCGATCTTTTTTGTAGAGAAATGGTTTTTATGTTTTCTTTGTTTTTCAAACCCAGGTGATTGAAAAATGTTTCACAGGAACAGCGTCGAGAATTTCTGGAGTGACATTCAACGTTTTGGCACAAGAGGTATATATGGAATATTTACATTCTGGAACTAAATACTTTAATTGATGTTTTCATCACCAGCATAATTTCTAATAAACTTGCGTCTTGTAGGCTTTAGGTCGTCACAGAATAGCTTACTCTGATCGTGATGGAGATAACGTATTGGTCAAGAATTGGGTATGTGTTTCTATTTACTTTTTATAGAAATTTAACCATTTGTCCATACTGTCCCCGATAGCTTTGTTCGTTCGATCTATTCTCCTTGATCTACAGCTGCTGTGGTAGCATTAAATGGTCCAGAGTTTTACTACAGGCGGAAATTAGAATACCCAGAGAAAATCAGTGGCGTTTGGTAGAGTCAAACTGGAAGCACTCTTCTCACATACGAAATCATAATGAAACAACTGCATATTGCAGAAATCAATCTCTGCATGTATGGCCATGTATGTGACACCAACATTCCCCCATTGATGAGAGAAAGTTTGCTGGAGCGAATATGAAAATGACTATCACTTGTATTCTAAAAGCTCACTCACACTCAATGAGTGGTGATTCAATCTGAGCTTCTCTTGAGTGTCAGTGCTGTTTTTGAATAGCTGGAGGGTGAGTAGTCACATGGTAAGGTACGACACTAACCCTCCAGCTATTCAAAAACAGTATTGACACTCAAGAGAAGCTCAGATTGAACTTCCACATGCATGAGTGTAAGTGAGCTTTTGAATACACTATAATACATCTTGCCTCTAGGTGTATCACTTAGTAAATAAATTTAGTGTAGTGATGATCAAAGAAGACAAATGGACATTAAAGAAGACAGATGGCTAGGTGTGAAAATGAAATATTTTGATGTTGAATTTTTAGGGTGAATATCACTGGCGCGATGGTGGTGAGAAGCATGTGAATGATCCAAGAAGCATCGGGTTACTACAGGTGCTGCAAGTTCTTTCTGGCGCCGACTGCTCCAGATTCTATTTATCTGTTTTCCAAATGATAAAGTATTGGATCTCTTCACGAAATAATGTTGCGTTGTTAAATTCTACTTTTAGGAAGCATCAAGGGGAAACAACACGAGGACGTTTAAGAAATTTGTAGAGTCCACTTGGAGAATGGTAAAGTATACTATTCTTTCATATCTTAGAATATTATTTTTTGCATGCTAATGCAAAGGTGCCTTGAAAAAGGATTGTTCGTTTCTGTGAGGTAATAAAGAATAAAGCCGTACGGCATTGCACAATGTGGGTGAACCATATTTCCATTGTCTCTACTCTCTTTCTTGCTTTACTTGTTATTTTTATGTTTGGCAGTTTTAATTTTTCATAGATAGTAAGTTACCTTAATTTGAACTGCCCTCCTTCATTTGCATTAAACGATTTTATTTCTATTTTTTATCTCAGGTGAAAGCATGTACGTTGAGAGGCCAAATGGAATTCACGTTTGCTGATAGACCTCTTGATTTATCTGAAGTTGAACCTGCTTCGTCCATTGTGAAGAGATTTTGTACTGGTAATTTTAACTAACTTTATTTATATTGGATAGCTCTATCAGTTCTAAACTGTTCTTCCTAGAGGTCCAGTAAGGATCATCTCTCATTGATCCAGTGTTATTACACGAGGAAACCTAAACTAAACTAACTTTATTTATACTGGATAGCTCTATCAGCTCTAAACTGTTCTTCCTAGAGGTCCAGTAAGGATCATCTCTTATTGATCCAGTGTTACTACAGGAGGAAACCTAAACTAAACTAACTTTATTTATACTGGATAGCTTTATCAGTTCTAAACTGTTCTCCCTAGAGGTCCAGTAAGGATAATCTCTTATTGATCCAGTGTTATTACAGGAGGAAACCTAAACTAAACTAACTTTATTTATACTGGATAGCTCTATCAGTTCTAAACTGTTCTTCCTAGAGGTCCAGTAAGGATCATCTCTTATTGATCCAGTGTTACTACAGGAGGAAACCTAAACTAAACTAACTTTATTTATACTGGATAGCTTTATCAGTTCTAAACTGTTCTCCCTAGAGGTCCAGTAAGGATCGTCTCTTATTGATCCAGTGTTATTACACGAGGAAACCTAAACTAAATTAACTTTATTTATACTGGATAGCTTTATCAGTTCTAAACTGTTCTTCCTAGAGGCCCAGTAAGGATCATCTCTTATTGATCCAGTGTTACTACAGGAGGAAACCTAAACTAAACTAACTTTATTTATACTGGATAGCTCTATCAGTTCTAAACTGTTCTTCCTAGAGGTCCAGTAAGGATAACCTCTTATTGATCCAGTGTTACTACAGGAGGAAACCTAAACTAAACTAACTTTATTTATACTGGATAGTTCTATCAGTTCTAAACTATTCTTCCTAGAGATCCAGTAGGGATCATCTCTTATTGATCCAGTGTTACTACAGGAGGAAACCTAAATTAAATTTACTTTATGAATTTTATTTTTAAAGGTGCCATGAGTTTTGGTTCAATTTCCATTGAGACCCACGAGACGCTCGCCATTGCTATGAACAGGTATAGCTTGTGCTACGTTTCGAATGTATCGATACTTATTGGAGCGATCGAGTGACGAAACACAAGATCAATAAATATAGTGAATAATTTAGTCACTCTGATAACTGTTTTTCCTTTCAATCCCAGTAAAACGGCAATGCGAGTTCACGAGAGTTGCAAAATCTCGTTCGAGTTCTCTCGTTCGACACTCATCAACTTTGAGCTGCTTCAAATTTTATCGAGAGTTGAGTAGACTGTAATAATAAACTCTCGCTTTTCAACTTTCATCCTTGTTCGGTCAGGACTTTAGAGTTGACCGCTATGTATGTGCTGCGCTAGTCTGTCTCACTTTAGTGAAACATACCAATACTTCAATGTTTAATGTTTTCCCTGATTCAGGATGGGAGGTAAAAGCAACACAGGCGAAGGTGGAGAGAAACCTGAACGTTTGATTATCACTGATGACCTCAACAACACGAGATCCGCCATAAAGCAGATTGCATCTGGAAGATTTGGAGTGAACAGCGCCTATCTCGCGCATGCTGATGATTTGCAGATTAAAATGGCCCAGGTGACTTGTCGCTATTTGGAAAACAAGCAAACTGAATTTCCACTGATTTTAGCTGCTATCAAAACATTTTCCTTATTTTGGCAATTTAAAGAAATTGACATTAGACTTGCTTGTATCTTTACTCCATGTCTTTGTTTAGGGAGCAAAACCCGGTGAAGGTGGCGAACTTCCTGGTCACAAGGTCACACCAGACATAGCAAAGACAAGATTATCAACTCTGGGTGTGGCGTTGATCAGTCCACCTCCTCATCATGATATTTATTCCATTGAAGATCTCGCTGAGGTTTGTACTGTTCGGGTGACGTTGAACCAGCAGTGAAGGAATAATGTCCGATGCCGTTGTCTGATTATAAGTTTAAGTTGCTACCAACAGACAGCAGTGTCCCCAGTGTTTACAACTTATACCATAACAAACTCCAAATGCAGGCCTACAATATATATTTCCGTTCTTGACAGCGAAATCTAAAAATCAAAATTTACTTGTAAGTCAAATATAAAATTTCGTGCATATGAAGATTTAAGGGAACGGTGACGTATGCTGAAAACAGGCGTATTTTATAGCCACTGAATAAATTAATGTAACCAAATGACGTGGTAATATGTAACTATCTTCAATGAACTAGTATAGTTCATATATCTCGTGATGACAGCACCCGTAAGGCTCTCGAAACAAATGCAATAAAACCGTGGCTATAATTTGACTGATATACTTTATAGCCATGAGCTGATACTCCAGTTTTCTCCCACAGGGAATGGTGACGGGTTGGGATGTCCCGCAAACTGACCCTTCTACACTAGCTGTGCTTCGTTACCGGATATTTATTACTATTATCTTCAGCATGTGGTAATTTGGCTTCATTTAATCCCAGGAGGTATCTAGGAAATTATGTAGTGAAACAAAATGATGAAACAGGGTTATTTGTTGTTTCAGTTGATCTTCAATTTGAAATGTTCCAATCCAAAGTCAAGGATCAGTGTGAAACTTGTGTCTGAGGTTGGCGTGGGAGTCATCGCAGCTGGTGTAGCTAAGGTATGCCATGAAATTATGGTTTTACCTTCCTTTGTTTGTAGTTTTGTTTTCCTGAGAACTTTTGCTGGTACTATTGAAATATGTGAATCAAATAATGAAGAATTAGATAGTCCTTTTTCCGTAAACAATGTGAGTAGCGATTTTTTCACTAGCCTTAATTCCATTCCCAATGAAAGAGGTTTTAAAATGGCTTTTCTTAACATTGTTAGTTTGCCAAAAAATATTGATGAAATAAGGTATTCAATGTCAAACAAATTCATTGATCTTATTGCTTTCAATGAGACTCGTCTTGACTCAAGTATAACTAATGGTATGATTCACCTTAATGATTATGATATTATTAGAAAAGACAGATCAAGAAATGGAGGTGGAGTTTGTATCTACTTGCGTAGCTCCATCAACTATATTATAAGACAAGATCTAATTCCCTCTGAATTGGAGGCTGTCTGTGTAGAAATTATTAAGCCACACAGTCGACCATTTCTTGTTACAACCATTTATAGACCACCCAATGCATCATCTGAATTCTTTAATCATTTTGAAAAATTAATTAAAGCCATTGATGATGAAAATAAAGAAATGTATATTCTAGGTGATCTAAACTGTGATATGCTTAAAACAGACAAAGATTCGAATTCTCCAACAAAGAAAATCAAAACATTGTATGAGTTGTATCAACTGTTACAATTGATTGATGAAGCTACCAGAGTAACTATGACAACCTCTAGTCTTATTGATCATATAGTCACCAATACACCAGAGAAAATTTCTGACTCTGGTGTTATCCATACTGGATTAAGTGACCATAGTTTGGTATTTGCAATAAGGAAAATTTCTGTTGTTAAAAAACAAGAGAAGAAAGTTGAGATAAGAAATATGAAAAAATTTGATCATCAAAAATTTGTTGAGGATCTGAGGCAACAACCCTGGGAAAATGTATACTTCTTCGCTGAAAATCCCAATGCTATGTGGGAAATTTGGAAGAAATTATTTTTAGAGGTCTTGGATAACCATGCACCACTTCAACATAAAACGATTAGAACAAAAAAAGTTCCTTGGATTACAAGTGCTATAAAGCAACTTATAATCACAAGGGACAGATTAAAAAGAAAGGCCATTATTACAAACCTAGAGATAGACTGGTTAAATTACAAAACAACGAGAAACAAAGTTAATATTCAGCTAAGAAATGCTAAAAAAAAATATTACTCCACTAAAATTTCTGATCAAAAATGCAACCCTAAAGAGGCTTGGAAAACTATAAACGATATACTAGGTAGGCAAAGCAAACCAACAGTAGTAAATGAGTTAAAATTAGGTGAAAATAGTTTGACAAATACCAAAGATATTGCAGAGGGCTTTAATAATTATTTTTCAAATATTGGCCCTGATCTAGCTAGCAAAATTGATACTCCAAATTTGAACTTTCAAACATATATTGAAAAGACTAAATCAGAATTCAGTGCATTCCAGCCAGTCACTGTTAGCAATGTCTACCATCTTTTACATGGTCTTTCTAGCAACAAAGCCACCGGCGTTGATAAGATCTCCAGTAAAATTATTAAAATAGCTGCACCTGCTATTTCAGATTCACTCACATATATTTTCAATCAAGCTATTATCCTATCCATTTTCCCTCACGAATGGAAAACGGCTAGAGTAATACCTCTCTATAAAAATGGCCAACGAAACCTGCCAGGAAATTACAGACCAATTTCAGTTCTGCCTGTCATTAGCAAAATTATGGAACGAATTCTGTACGATCAGCTATACAATTATTTAACCAAATTTGAACTTCTGAGTGACTGTCAATTCGGTTTTCGTAAATTTCACTCTACAACTACAGCATTACTTGACTGTACAAATGATTGGTATATGAATTTAGACCGCAAAATGTTTAACCTGGTAGTCTTAATTGACTTAAAAAAAAGCATTTGATACTGTCGACCATCAAATATTATTGAAAAAATTAGAGCTTTACGGAATAAAAGGACAAGCTCTGTCTTTTCTAGAATCATATCTCTCAAATAGAAACCAAAAATGCCAAATACAAGGATCTGTTTCATCAGAGAAATTGATCAAATGTGGCGTACCACAAGGCTCTATTTTAGGGCCCCTATTTTTTCTGTTATACATTAACGATTTGCCTCAATGCCTGGATAAAACAAACCCTCGGTTGTTTGCTGACGATACGAACCTGACAGTTTCTGGAAACTCTATTACTGATCTTGAAACTGCAGTGAATTCTGATTTGGAAAAACTTAGGAAATGGCTAATTGCCAATAAACTTAGTCTAAATGTTGCTAAGACTGAGTTTATGTTAATTGGTTCAAAACAAATGATAAAAAATATTTCAAATTTGCAACTAAACGTGAAAATTGAAAACGAGTCAATTAAACAAGTTTATGAATCCAAAACTCTTGGAGTGACAATTGACCAGCATTTATCTTGGAAAACTAACACTGAGAATATTTGCAAGAAAATTACATCTGGAATATCGGCTCTTAGACGTTTAAAAGAATTTGCTGATAAGCAAACACTTCTTTCTGTATATAATGCTATTGTTCGCCCATATTTCGATTACTGCTGTGAAGTATGGGATGTGTTTGGAGAAACGCAATCAAAAAGACTCCAAAAACTACAAACAGAGCTGCTCGGATTATTTTGAATATGAGCAATGACATAGATCACTCTGTTGCATTGCAAGCATTGGGTTGGAAGCCACTTAAAACAGAAAGGAAGAAAAGTAAAGCAAAAATCATGTACAAATTATTGAACAAAATGGGACCGAAATCACTCAGTAATCTCTTCACATATAAGGGTGAGGTGACAAACTACAAACTTCGGAACATTTCAAGTAGTCTTTGTTTACCACAACCGCGTACTAATAATATGAAAAAAAGTTTCGTGTATGACGGAGCACACCTTTGGAATTCTATTCCTAAAAAAATAAGAGAGAGCAAATCCTTTTCTTCCTTTCGAAAGAAAATCACTACTCACATTGACTGATAGCTAATTAACATAGATGTTAATATTATCTGTATATAGATTACTACCTTAGTTTGTTAGTTCATATAATACTATATATCTTATATAATTTTGTAAATAGTTTTAAAATTCTTTTCTGTATACTTTTCGCACGCCCCTCGTGGAAATCAGCT